AGAGGAAAATGTGTTTTAGGGCGGGGCTGCCTTGTGATTGTCAGGTCACTGCTGGGCTGCTAACTTGCTCTTTACATCTGGTTTCAAAAGACCAAGATGCCGATAGCCAAATGCTAAATCAGTATTCTAACAACCAATGGGTGACAGTTATCTTTAATAGACCGTCTATGGACAAATGCAAAAGGACCAACAATGGCAACAACATGAACAATTCATTTCTGGTTGTTTGCAAAGTTCTGGATGGTACCAACCCAGAACCATGCTGGTATTTGGGTTTGTCACCATCAAAATATAGCTGTTAGTGTTAGCATGTTGCTAGGCTAATGTGGCTAGCATTATTATTAGCTTTGATGGTCTGCCTACAGGTCACAACTGTGGAAACTCTGAAGCTAAAGACACTCAGAGACGGCAGAAACTTAGAGAAACCAAGAAACAAGAACCAGTTCAATGCAACCTAAACTCCTCTGTTTGCTCACATATCCTGCATTTTAATACGGCCAAACTTCCAGGAAAGCTGTTTTTATTTGGAAACAGTCGATCAAATGCAGCCCGTTAAGACGACACGTGAACCTGCAGTCACTTCTGGACCATTTCTAAGCCTCGGCTCTGCTGGCTGACAAACCTGCTGTACAGTGAGTGAGAAATGATGGCTGTGTCGTGTTCTCAGCAAAACCATCACTCAGAGGGAGCTAGAAGCAAATAAAAGTCCTCTTCTCACCTGCTCAGTAATGCCTTTCACTACTGGGCCAACAGTGTTCTTCCTGAAGGGGGCGTGGACGGCACCAACTCACTGCATTTCAAGCTACAGACACCGAAAACTGACACGACTTTCATCAAATTGCTGAAATCACACAACAAAACTGTAAATGCTGAGTTCAGCGGCCTCTGAGTTCACTTCCGTCCGCGTGATGTCTTGTTCTTTTGAGTCAGTTGAGGAACCCGAAAAAATACCAAGAAATAAATGTAAAGGCACTGAGCAGTGAGAGCTGCAGCCTGAAGCAGCAGGACGACCATCACAGCACAGAGATTAAAGGAAAGACAAGATCAAGCACAACCAGGAGCATTTTTATGCACATTAGCGACGACGTCGCCGTCGTCTACTTACCCATCTTCACTTTAGGTAGAGCGGCTGAGGGAGATAAAGAGAAAATGCGAGGCAGGGATATCAGATACCCAGACAGAGACATAGGGCAAGCGATACAGACAAACCTCCCACTCGTCTTGAATGCACAGACTCCTGTCCCTCTGCTCAGCCCACACCGTCGGCCCAGATGGCAGATTCATGCCACAGTCACACCAGCACAACCTGCTGTACAGCCTCCAACACACTCCTTCTCAGATCACTCAGCTGCATATCCTTTTCATAGCTCCTGTTGCGTTTGAGTGACAGGGCCGGGAAAAAAAAAACCTCACTGCCATAAATATCATGTCAACAAAGAGACACCGACACCAGCTCGGAGAGAGACAAAGACGGAGAACGCAGGAAACATGATGGAAGACAGAATAAACAGCGTAAGTGAAAGGCGTCGGGGGTGTTGTGTGAGAAGTGTTGGCGATAAACAGGTTTATTTATGCAAGCAGTGTACAGCAGCCAAACACCGGCCTCCTAGGGTCTGACTCAGAATACAGCTCTATAAAAAGATCCAGTGGCACGCATGCTCACGCTAACAATGACTTTGTCAATCACACGCCGATATACAGTCAGTCCCAGAGGCCCGTCAGCAGCCGACACACGGATCAGGTGCAAATCCTGCAAGACGCAGTGAAGGGAGGCAGCGGACACTCCAATCACTGGGCATTTGATTACAAACGATGGCCCTTCCATTCCCACCCTCAAATAACCCGTCTGACGTCCTACAAGAATCAATTACACACAACAAACGCTGGATAAAGAAACCACGTTGGCAGTTGACAGACATTTCTGTTTCGTAGTAGATACACTCAAGAAAAGCCCTCATCAAAACATTACAGCCTCAAGCACGAGAAAGTCGGCCAAATTTCAACTGATCAAGCTTCATACGGCAGCATGAAATGAGAATACGGCGGCTGAGTGGAAACCTTTGGAGCTCCCTGACCGCCCTCCACTGCTGTCACACAACAGTCCACTGTGTGATGTGGAGATAACCGGCAGAGGAAGCGAGGGCTTTGATCCTTAATGGGGCCATGTCGGCTCTGTGGAAATGACATTCATGCCTTGTATTTACACAAGCGCAATTACGGAGGTAATTTTGGTGGTAGACAATCAATTAGAGTGAAACTATGCCAGGGCAATAACACAGATTAAAGGAAAGGTTACGGCTGGAGCCTGTTTGGGTGTAAATGAGCAAAACAAGGGTCGGCTAAATAAGCCTCGGGACACATCAACCTTTAGATCTACAGTATCAGCAGCAACCGTAATGAATCAGGGCTCGTCTCTTCTAACAACCGCTTCTCTGACCACAGATTTGGGAAAGACCTGCATGTCACATAGTTCTCCAAAGCACCTACTTGGTGCAACAACTTGTGGCCTGATCTCTCCTCTCAGGCTTCGTTTTTTTATCCGTCTCAACTAATTCTGCGGCATCTTCTGTGCACGATCAAGGAGACAAACGTGTGCATCAGTTCCCACATTTAACCCGGAGAGATTTAGAACAGCAGAGTTGCTCCGAAAACAAGGACAGGACGAGGGGGGACAGTTCAAGCTCCACCGGGTAGAGGCGTTAGCAGAAACCGCTAATAAATAGCACATGTGCTGGCTGATGGCTCATCGGTGGATATGTGGTGCATGCAGGGATCAACAGGAGTCCTACTTGTCATCTTATCTTGAGCTGAGTGTCAGATTTCTATGAGTAAAAGCAACACTAGAACTGTACTGAATGCAGTCACCCACTCCACCTGTGCTGATGTTTGGTCATTTACTTCCTTAACTGCTTGCATTTGCTGAACTAACGTGTCTGGGTTTTCCCAGAGCTTCCTCTGCCACGAGGTGCATGTCACATACAACAGGTATGAATGTAATCTGTGTAATTTGGCTGCAATCCTGCAACACACGACCAAAAATCAAGCTTATCTCTGATCTGTGCATTTCAGTGCAGGAACACTTCAAAGACACGTGAAGGACACTGAATTCTTGGAGAAGGATAAGAGATGCAGCAAAGAGGATGCCGGCACTTTGCCAGAACGGTGCCATGAACACGTATGAACCCATGACTACGGTCAAAGAGGTCAAGGAAGGATGTGAAGGGGAATTGATTTAGGAAAAAACAACCATGGCGCGAAGACAATCTGATTGCATTTACACTAAGCTAGGTAGTGAGTTAAATGTTGCTGCTGCAAGGAATTGTGGGACGGCATCATCTCCTTTCCTTCATAAAGGACGGACCAGAGTATCCTAAAGGAGATAAAACAGGAAGCCACTTCTCTTAGCATTCAAAACACTGAACCCACCTTCATCACGGCACGACACTTCCAGGTGTTCACTGACTGGATGTGAAGACTTCATATGAAGACCAGGACGTGAGATGTTCTGCTGCAAACTGTTTTAACTGATGTTCTGTGAGATCTGCCAGGCCGGAGCCGTTCTTCAGTAAGTCGTGTTCTGAAGGCTAATTTAGTTTGTGAAGTAAAGCTCAGCCCATGTATGGAGGTAAACAGTTAGTTATGCAGCCAGTAGAGTAGAAAGTTCACAGTGCAGCCATCCATCATATCGCATGTGTTGAACAGAACAGAATATAGTCTACTTATCCCAGACCCGGGAAACTACTGAATGGTGCAAACAGCGATCATTCAGGTCAGTGGGACGATGTGGAGTTGGACCAAACAAGAGTCGAGACATCGATGTGACTCTGGTTACAGATAATGTCACAAACTGAGCCCCTTGTTTCTCATCTTGGCTTCACCTGTGGAGGACGCTGTAATGGCTGAACACCTACAGCAGCTCAGACAACACCACGTAGGAACTAGTTCACGAGGGAGACTGAAGCCACGACCAACATGATGTGAAACGCACAGATATGCTCCATGCAAGAAAAGAAACCAAAGAAACAAACGAGCTTTAAATGCTTCTCCACCGAGGGCTGAGTGTTGCAACAGCTCTGAATCCTCTGTGCACCTCGTCCAGAAACAACAGAGCCGACAAAGGCTTTGTGCTGAAAGACCAAATTCCTGTTTCTCAGATGTTGGTCTGACAGTCGTCTCTCCTTTTGTCTCTTTTTCTATTCTTCCCTTTCTCCTTCGCTCTGTGCCTGGGCAGCAGAATCAGCACATCAAATAAATAGAGAGAGGAATCGTGTTTCACTTGGAGACAGCCGAGCAGGACAATAGGAACACGTGAAGTGAGCGAACTGCGGGTGTAAAAAGAAAGCAATTCCAATGCAAATAAGTGCAGAGGCCTCTTTGAAATCAAATCTGATTTAGGAATTTAATAACACCTCCAAACTGTTTTCCAAGAAAAGAAAAAAGAAAAAGATTCTTTGGAAATGATCAGTATTCGAGGCCACGCATTCCTCACCTACCAGAGACACAGAACACCAGCGGATAGGGGCTCATTACGAAGCCTCTCCTTGGTCCACCAAATGTTATTATCATCAAAACCTCCCGACTCTGGAGGAGACATGGCGGCCATTTTGTGGACTCCAGCGTCTGAGTCATTGGGTTTGAGTGGAGCCGCTGGTAAAACACAAGCAGTGGCAGAAACACTGGGGCCCAGAACTGTAGCCTTTGGCCTGAGGTTCAAACAATCGACTCGCAGCGCTCTTTATCTGAACCAACCACAAACCCCCAACTACCCCTTCCAGTTCAGACGGAGGCCTGAGCAGAGAGGCTACATGGTGATGGGAGAGATTGGAAGTGAAGGTCTTTGACTTCAGTCACACAGCTAATCTTGGTTAACATGCATGTTGTGGTCATAAAAAAACAAAGGCAGCAGCACGACTTCCCCTAATTGAGGGACTAATTATGAGGTATTGGAAGAAGATGAGAAACATGCTCAGAATGAACCCAAAGAAGCAGGACAACAAAAAAACGATGCAAAGCTTTTATTAAAAACGATGGATTCTGTCAGAACGTGACATCAAATATGAAAAACATCAAGTTAAATTAGAAAACTTGAACAAAAACCTAAAAACCTTCTTTGCCAACAAGACAATGAATAAATATTTAATGAGGACATCAAACTAAAAGATGGCGTTTCCGGTGGCATGACGAGTGTGTGAAATACGGCAACAGTCAAGTTTGCTCACATCTGACGGAGGTCACGGCTTCACGGCGCCGAGCTCAGCCGTGGTTCTTCCTGTCACCTGTGCAGAGAGAGTCCTGGTGTTAAACCTTCACACTGACGTCATCATTCAGGGGCATCAACATTAAAGGTGTTGGAAATAAATTCAAGCCAACGCTCTGACTGACTGCTGCTTTATGATTCCCAACATCTGAGTGGCTTTAAGAAGTGCAGGAGTACAGTGAAGCAGCTTTTTACTGTGAAGTGTCTGACTGACAGTCCTGAGAGATGTTTGCAGAGATGTGAGCGACGGCAGCGTTTGACAAGTTCTCTCATCACTGCCTATGTATGGATGCTGCTCATAAAGACATAAATGGCTGTTACAGTGTGATGGATGGGAGGCAAATCAAAGCCCTCCGGACGAACACTTCACCGAACGCATCTGCACCACGAAAAAGCTCAAATACAGGAGCGCTGCTGGATGTTCACCTACACAGTCTGCCTAAACGTTTCTACACAATCTAACCGGCGGTGCTGACCTCCTGCTGCGACAGGCGTCCAGGTCCTCCTGCAGCAAAGACGCTCTCTTCTGAAGGAAGGTCACCTGCAACACAGACACACAACGATGCAAAACGCAGCCAACGTAGCGCGCTGTCAGCAGGAACATGAGGAAATGGGAAGTGGAGGAATGCTTCTGGGCCAAGTGGGCGAGCCAAGTAGAGGACAGAGGAAGAAAAGCCTGGTTGTTGAGAGCAGGGGTCGGAGGTCAGGGATCGGGGCAGCGGGGTGAAGGCAAGCCGGGCCACGGGGACGGTTCTGGACCAGGTTAGCCGAGGTTAGGAGGCGGCACCGTTCTGTTGTTGGGCTACAAAGCGTACGTTTATTTATGAAGTGTCTTTGGCTAAAGTGAAAATAAACCCCATCTACATTTACACGGCATCCAGAGCCTGGCAGAATAATCACAGCTCCAAAAGAATCCGTATTGTTCTGGGACTACCGTACTGGAGCCCAGGGTACATTCCTTTCTGTGGGGGAGACCTCAGTTCAAGTTCTAGCATTTCATTTGGCACCTCACACGGGTAAAGTATATGCAAAGCCCCACCGAAATGCGGTCAGATGCCTCCAGAGACACAAAACTCTCCGTACCTTTTTTTCCTTTTCTTACTATGTAAAAATAATGCACTTTAATGTGCAAAACCCAAGACACTGTCAATGAGAGGAGAGACCGCTCTGGTCATGAATTACATTTTATAAACATATCCGATCACAGAGCTGTGGTCTGGGCATTGAAACGGGATCTTGGAAGACCTATTTGAACAAGGCAGGGGTTTATGATGAGCCCATTTTACAAAAGCTCACACTGCACGCTCTTATTATTGTTACAACACAGTTATTTAGAATGTAAATGCTGCGAAAAGCAAAGCCCTTATTAGTGAGAGACGAGGCTCAGAGGGAAACATGCAGCATGAATGCGGTTGTGCAGGACTGACTGTGGGAGCTGACGGAGAGACAAGGAGAGATGAAGGTTTATGAGGAGGCCTGGCCGGGTCCGAAGTGAAAGCAACATCTATAATCGAGCGCTGCACCAAAACCGCACCGAACAGATCTTTGGTCTCGTTCAAACAAATCGCTCCGGCGCACACAGTCGTGCACAGTGTTCAGATTCACTTTCTACCAGTTCTGATTAATTTACAGAAGGAGAGACACAAGAGGGTCTCAGAGGGTCTGAAGGACCTGTCCTACAAAGATCTGCCCTCAGCAGGAAGGTGGCTGGATCAGGGATCCAGTGCCTTGCTCACTAACACGGCAGGTTTGGTTCACTACACAGCTCAAAGGACGCTTAATGTAAAGGTCTGTTACACATACATGATGTTAGACTGTATGTATTGTATGTAAAGGTCAACATGAGCTGCTGTTCAGTATGAATGCAGGTAAAGAAACGGCCTGACTCTTTATGCCGACACCTGGTTCCTTCCCATTAGTGGGTCACTGGAACCAGTTGTACAGTGATGGTGGTTGGACATAAATCCTGGTTTTAGCTGCACCCAACCCAACACAGTCCTCCAGCTTCTATTCGCTGCATCATCATCACCAGCTAACAGCATGCTAAGCTAACAGCATGCTAAGCTAACAGCATGCTAAGCTAGCCCACATGTAGCTCAACCAGCAGCCACATCACGGCCGTCGTCATGCTGTCAAAATGTAAAGCTTTCTGTTTCCATCAGGAAGGACAGCGTCTGCAGCTAACGAGGATCTGGTAAACTAAACGAGAACGTTGCATTCGTCCAACCTGACGAGACAGTTGCTGCTCCGTCTCCGCTCAGACATGCTAACGGTGCACTGGGTGAGCGAGTCATGTGAGAACTTTTACGACTAGAACCTGTTTGTGAGACCGGAGGAGCTGGATCAGTCGGATGATTCTGGGTACCGACATGAAGACGATGCTGGGTCCGGCTGAGCAGAGCCTGGTGCTCACTGCAGGGCCTCACGGGCCAGAACATCACGTCACCTGAACACTCTGCAGGATTCTCATTGGACTTTTGGCACATTTTACTGTGAATTCATTCCTTTCAATTTTTATCATTTCACTCATTTTCTCTGTAGTGAAGAGTTTAAGTGGCCAAGAAGGAAAAGAGGAGCTGCTGAAGTATGAGATGAAGTCAGAAGCAGTAACGAGGCTGCGCTTCACTACAGTTATCACTGAAGAACTGTGCAGCATGTAAAACAAACAGCAGCTCTACATTTAAAATGGACTCATGGAAAAGGAAAAGACAGCAGATGATAAATATTTTGCAGACTGAACACATAAAACTTGAGCCTCAACAGTATTTTTTTACATTCTTGGGCCTAAAGTCAACAGACTGAATGTGTTCTGCGAGTTGGTTCTAGTCTGATCCGTACTTGGCAACCAGTCAGCTCTCACCTGAGCTTTCAGAGAGGTGATGGTGTCCTCCAGCTCCTGTCTGAGTTCAGCTGGCATCAAACCTTTGATCTTCTGCTCGTACTCCTGATGCACCAGAGTCACCTGAGAAGACAGAGGGAGGAGGCAGTAAACAGGAACTGGAGACTTCAGGAATCGATACCTGGCTTCACACGGACGTCCCGGCTACGACGGAGTGTTCATGTTTCTGCATGGAAATGAGAAACCTGATGATGAACGCTGGAATACTCTGAAACTTCTCATTCTGGTTTGTGTTCAGGTGCAGCTTCAGTCAGTGACAAACACAGATCAGTTCAACACTACGGCCGCTGTTCTGTTGTTCTGCTGTTCTGCTGCTTCCTCCGGTCATAATGACTCCGTCCTACCAAACGACTGCTGACACCGTAACACCTCCTCCTACCAGCAGCTCTTGTTTCTGGCAGGAAGCCGACACGATGCTGCATCTGATGGTACGAAGTCGCTGTAAAGTGGCCTCATGGATGTAAAGCTAAAGGAGCGTCAGAGTGATCAGCAACCAGAACACTGGTGTTCATCAGACACTCTGTGCTCCTGTCACATAGTGTGCAACATCAAACTTAACATGATAAGTATTACTATGAACAACAACAACAACAACAACAATAATAATAATAATAATAATAATAATAATAATAACAATAATAATAATCGCGCACACACATTTTTTCAAGGCTCTTAAACAGGTGAGAGAGGCTCACAATTGAACAAATGATCATTAATTAATAGAAAATCCTTTATTAGTCCCAAAAGGAGAAACTTGCAACATCACAGCCGCAAAGTGACAGAAAGAAAAAGTACAAAACAAAGAGGTGATGCATTTACACCATATCTACAATATCAATAAGAAGAAGAGAAGAACTGAGGGGCACTACGGACACACACTACACAATATTTACATGAATGAACTGCATCAGATCTGTAGTTATATATTATTACTGCTGAATAAGTGCTGCTCTCACACACACACACACACACACACACACACAGTTCCAAACAGCGAGCCAACAGCTTGGAGGAGGCACACTCACTCTCACTGCTCTGACTGTGGGTATCCCCTCTTTATTCATGGCTCAGAGTATTCCCTCGCTCTTCACAGCTCCTTCACATCTCCACAGGGGGTCCCAGCCTCGCTCTGCATAACACCCCCTACTGGCTGCCGCTGACTACAGCCAGATCTGACACAATGCATTTATGGGCTCCACACAGCTGGGTTTGGAAGAAGACAGGGCCACGGTGGAGGGCAGCACACATCAAACGCTGCAGCAGCTCAATAGCTAGCTAGCTATCTCCACTGGGGAGGACTGGAGGAAGTCTGTCTGGGGCTAAATTACACTCCACTAAACCAGAGTCTGATTATAGAAGTTGAAAAGGGTTTGGTTAGCGCAACCCCCACTTTTTACCCACAAACACACATGAATGGAGACGCACACATACGCGGACGTGCACGAGCGCAGAGCTTTTACGGTATTGTAAAAAAGCATTTACAGCATTCTGAAGAGTTGCTGAATCAATTAATTTGGAGCTTGATGAGCAGTTTGACAGAGCCGGAGGAGCTAACTGTGAGAAGCAACAGTTTGCAGCCACATATTTCAAGGTGTAACCAGGGGAGAGTCTGGGCATCCCGATGAGCCGGACAGAACCAGAGTCCAGCCAACACTAAGAACATCCCCATGATCCCCACCTCTCATCAGTCCCATCTTTCAAGTGAAGGGAGCGTGAATGAGGCGAGGGGGAGGGGGAGAAGATTGGTTTCCCTAAAATAATCTTCCTGTTGTGGATTTAACTGATTGTTCTGGCTTTGGCTAATTAATCTTCCTGGGCACAATGAAAGGGATTGGGAAGCACTTCAAAGCAGCCTCCAGTATAAATGATCCCAACATGAAGCGGCTCACTTTGTCTCGGCACAGTGTGCAATAGATTAGTCCGCCACAACTTTGCCAATTTTTCGGGCTCCTTGTGCCCCGTTCACTTGAAAGCGTCGGACCAATAAGGTTGGGTGGAGAATCCATCAGTTTACAGAAATACGTGGTGCTGCTGCGTGAGAATCCAGTCTGGGATAATTTGAAAGTGACCTTTTCAAACAAGTGGCAAAAAACAGGTTTTTAGAAGCTTTAATTTGAACGTCCAGGATTTAAAAAATGAGCTGAAGCAACACGAGTGCAGATTTTCAAAATGTCTGTCTCTATCTATAGCAGCTTCTGTAGTCATAACAAAACGGGAAGCCAAGACAAAACACACTTCACTACCTCAGACCGAAGCAATAAACAATGGTTGAATAAACACATCCCTTACCAACCACTCTGAATATAAGTCTGAGATTCTTCAAAAGCCAAGCTCCTTAGTTTTGCATTCTTGGTTCATGTATGGTGCCGTCACCGCAGCAATGAGAGATCCGCTCGGCCTAAATTACAAGCTCCTTTGTGGCGATGCTGTCTCCATTTTCCGTCCCATACATTAGAACGGGCCAGGCAGCGACGGCGTGCTCATCGCAGAGAGCGACGGGATGACTGGATACTGTACATACAGCTGCACAGCAGAGAAGCCACGACAAAGAGAAGGCCGGAGTACAGCGAACGCACCACATGATGCAACCAGCCTGTGAATGTGGCTCAACCACTTTGTGCAGAAACACTAAATATTTTCATTTTTTACAGTTAAATCCGACATCTGTATTGTTTTTAATCCTAAAACTAGCATCATTTTGTATCGTTGCACACGTATGTGCAAACACACACGGATGCACCGTGTATGTACGTGAACCTGAAGGCATATGAGACAGTTTTCTGCTCTTTCCACGCTGCAGCAGACCAAAGCCTTCGCAGTCACATTCTTCCAAAGCACTTCTATCTAAAGCTTAGCCATAGTTTACTATGCAATGTGTGTGGGTGGAAGCAGCAGCCGTTTTTTTATAACTACACCTCTGATGTGGAAACCTATGCTCAGCTAACAGATGCAGAAAAAAAAGCAGACAAGGATGGGTAAAGCTCCAATTCAAATTTCTGCCTTCGCCATGTCTCTCAATGGAGTTAAAATTCAAAACAGAAGCATCCGACTCCCTAAAGATGTCTGACTGGTTCCCTGAGAGACGCTGCTCCTTCAGCTGTGCCTTCGCTTTCCTGTTCCAAGGTCCCTCCTCTCACATCTCTATTTTCCTTCATGCAAACACACATTTTTCTCTTCTTTTCACAGCAAAGGCATGTTTGTTTTCCTGACAGGTGGAAGGAGACGTGTGATGGCGTCTGAGGAAAAGGCTCCTCTCCATTAGGACAGATGTTGGAGCCTTTGAACAACGCTGCTGATCAAACCTTCTGTGAGGTTTTGGTCATTGACGCACTCGGCGTGCAGGCGAGTCGGCGGGAGAAGACAGGAAGGGAAACACAAGAAAGTGTGCCACTATTTCCCCTCGCAATGAAAAGGGACTCTGACTTTCTGAAGAAAATCAGTTTTCATCTCCGCTGCTCTTTTTTAAATGAGATTTTGTTTGTTCCTGATGAAGCGTGATTCTCCCGTTTTGAAGACTGTGAGGAGCGGCAGTCGTTTTTCCCCTCCCAGTCATCTTAAAATGACAACATTTCATCTATATATAGTCTTTAGATTGTGGTTTTGACTTTCCTTTGCATTCGGTGCTGTCACATGGTGTGGTTTTTGACAGCTGCCAGCAGAAAGGAACAAGCCCTCAACACTTTCAACGTTCAAATGAAGTTTGTCACATCGTTGGGAAGCTTGATGTATGCTAATGAAGTTGGGTGTGTGTGTGCAGGCTGGTGCGGGACGGGTTGGGGGGCGAGTAGCTGCTGGAAAGACATTTTTGATATCCCCCTTGTTCCAAAGTGACAAAATCCTTGTCAGGAACAAGGGGGTACATCAAAAATGATGCCACTCACAAAGTTTGCACCTCCACATCCACTGAGTTGGCACTCAGTGAGTTCACCAAGGAGCGATTTGAATTGAAAATGCTTTGCTGTGAGACGGAGAAAAGAAACCGCTTCACAAAAACGGAGGGGGGAGAAAAAGGGAAACGGCAGGCAGAGATTAGAGGAGGCTGCAGATCTGAGTGAAGCTCTCAGAACTATGGGATGGATGGTGGCTGCTGATGTAATGTGCCTCAACAAAAACAGCACACAGGAAAACCAGTCAGCCTACAGAACTTAAGTTCAACTCCTCTGCATTTCTATGTCTGCATCAATACTGAAGACAACTACAGACATGATTTATTTTTCATTACACCCAGCTCCTGTGCTGCAGCAGGATACATCTCAGAAACTTGTACAGTTCACCGTGCCCACTGTATCATTATGTATTTATACAAAGAGCCGTACTCTTCAACAGTCTGCTTCTCTTCAAGCAGAATTGAACCACACAGCGAGCTGATGATCTGCCATTTTAGAGTGGGGGAGCCTGCAAGGGCCCTGCAAGTGTTCGGCGAGCAGCATCTGTGTGAAGTCTGCTGTAGCATGTGAGCGATCGCATTACAAAGACACGTCTTGGCAGATAAACTAGGGCAATATCAGCGTGAGGAGACCCAGAGTGGATGCCCTTAGGTTCAGTATCATACACAAAAACACAATGCACAGATGAAGCCCACCACAGCTCGTGTGCATGTATGATGTACTCCAATGCAAACAGTTGCACGCAAACAAACAACAGCAAAAGGTTTAACTGACCTGAGAGCAGGAGTCAGTCCGTCCCACACAGGGACCAACGCTCCTGGACTGAGCGCACATTTAGCTCGATGCAAGACGCTACGAACCAGCCGAGGGACGGTGGCTTCAGGAGAGGTTCAGGTGGAGCAACGGCCGAGGATTCAAACAAACTCAGTACACTCTACAAAGTCATTCAGGGCATGTGGTTACAAGAACATCTCATCTATTTATTTCAGGGAAGCACAATATATCAACGACCACATCGGTATCGGCCGATATTAGTGGTTCTTCTGATGTATCGGTACCGGTCCGATGAACACGTTTAGCCGATGGTTGTCCAACATCAGCGCCTTCGTGTCTACGTTTGATATCGCTGCTGTTTCACTGATGTTTTTACTGAACTGGTTCTGGACTGGAACATTCAATATGTTTCAACATGTTTTATTTTTGTTCCCTAATAAACACTGTGTGGCCTAATTTGGACTTCTTCTGAACAGTTTTCATTCTCCTCGTGCTTCTTACCCTCAGTGTGAACAAAAGCTGAATGTTAATATCGGTATCGGCCAGAAATGTTAACATCGTGCATCACTCATTTATTTAGATCTACCTTTCAAGCTGCAGACATTATATTTAATGGTTGGATTGACATAATATTGCTGATAACTGCATGACCTCTAGTTTCTCTGTTAACCGATTTAAAACTAAATTAACCTGTAATAAGTGAAATCTGCCTTGATAACTTTATTTCAAATCATGTTCGGATGCTGTTGGAGGACCTGCAGGTTACACAAGGTTGAATTATTGGACCTTCTTAAAACAGGAACAAACACCTAAAAGCCAAGACCTGCTGAAGAAAACATGATTCAGGCATCTTGATTTTTTAAAAATGCTTTTAAGCACAACACTTAAAAATTCCTTTTAAATGACGTGAAAACAGTTAATCAACGTAAAAACTTGTGTTTATCTGAGCAATTAATAAGTGAGCAGTGATTAAAACTACCTGGTTGTTAAGGAAACCAGGTCCCTGTTGGTTGCACATCATTTCATTAGAAGTTGTCATAAATCAGAACAAACTGTTCGTTTTACTTTATCTTCTTGAGACCAAACATTCATTCTGAGTGTGTAATAAGAGGTAGAACTCCTCTGTCACTAGCAGAGACAGAGGGCAGCGCTCACGTCACATATTTACAGGAAGACCTCGTCTACGTGGAGCGACGTTAATGATCAGAGCATCGCTTCAGCTTCTGGGACAAACTGATGTCCAGCAAACAGACTCAAAGACAAAACATCTGTAAATATATGAAATATTATGAAAGGGGGCTGCAGCACGTTGCTTATTTCACTTTTATCGTAGTGCTTACATTCAACCTAAACTGTCTCTGGACAGCTGGTTGAGCAGAATTTCAGTTCTACTGGATGAAAAGTCTTAGGGTCCGAGTGCGACACCTCCAACACCACGGCAGAAGAACAGCAACACGGGGCTCGCTTCTCGTTTCACAGATGGCAGAACAAACATCTCCAGAGGAAACATGACAAATCAAGGACTTCATTATGTCAGAAACAAAACAAACCTCTCGTCAAGTTGCAGCGATAAAAGGTGCAGCCATAAGAATCTGTCGGATCTGACAGCTTAGAGTTCAGTTGTTCATTGAAGCCAAAGGCTGCAGCGTGGTGAACGTGTGGATCCAACATGGCTCTCTGTGGACCACTGGGTTCATGATGTCACCGCTGCTGGGATAAGGCAGGATTGTTTTTTCCTTCTAAAAACCAGAACTTTAATGATCCTGCCGAGCTGTGGTTAGCCTGCTCATAATGTCAGGCAACAGCAGACACATGTTTTCTGTACGTATCGCATGTTCAGACATGCAAATCGATGACGCTCTGCTTGGTTGTCCGACGTACAGCAGACCGCAGGGACGCGTCAACATACACACAACATGTGTGCTGCTGCAGGCCATGAAGGACTTAATGGGGCGTGTGCAAATGTGAGATACTTGGTAGGGATCAACGGATGTGGGTCTGGTAGGGTTGATACCCATTATTGGTGATCAAGAAAGAGCAGTAACCGGTACACATTAAATGTAATGTTTTAACAGCATGTGATAGCAGGAACCTGTCATTCATACCCAGAGGCTTCTTCACTCCTAAACGTGACTGTAACTGAACATGTACGACAGAAACAGGAGAGATTAAATCATCTCTGTTTATGTGGATCGACTGAGATCGATCAGCTTGTCTTCTGATCACTCATCTCTATTTTCTTAGCCTTGCTGGGTTCTATCACTTTCATTGCCCACTAAGATCTTAAATTATTAATAGTTGGTTAATCTGTGGCTGCCTGCTAACGTAGCCGCTAGCCGTTAGCCTTAGCCACTGTGAGAGAAGCTAACTTCCTGGTTTGAGGCGACAGCTGGTGTTTCTTGTTCACTTTTTCTGCATTGAACCTGAAGTATTTAATTGACCAATAATCAGTCAATAAAAACACAGACAACCTGCCAGGTGGATGATGGGTCTGTCCCGACCACTCTGAGTGTCTGATGAGCTGGACCGGTGCCGACATAAAATATGACTGAAACAAATACAGAGACTACATTCAGAAGTCACTCCATCGTTTCCATTTTGTGTCTCTGGTGTTTTCCAGGAGGTTTGAGGACTTCTATGATTTTTTAAATGTACATCTGCACATTGGTTGGCAGCATGTTATTGGCTGGACAGACAGCAGCAACACCTGTGGATGCTACATGTGACTGAATGCAGCAGGTACTTCAAACATCACTGCCTCTACTGGCGCTGATGAAGTCCGTTGAAACCTTAGTTGTTGCACCTCATTAATAAACGTCTTCCAACAACCTTCAGAGTTCCTGATCCTGTGTCCTCTGTCCTGTCATTTATCGGCATCAGCTCTTCTGGCTGATTACTTCGCTCTTACCCTACGATGGCTCACTTCCTGTTTGTCTCGTTGCTGCCAACTTTGTCACAGCAAAAAAATCTGTGATAAATTAGTGAAATGTGTTTGTGGCAGTGAATCAAATCCTGTCAAGTGCCTGAAATTGGAACCAAATGCTTCGTCAGATTCTCGGTCTTGTTTACTCATTCTTCGCTTCAACATACTGCCTGATTTAAAATCTAACTTCGCAGTTTTTGCATCGGAAAGCAGCACTTTTGGTTATTAGTACCACAATTAATGTTTCTTACTGGCGCCAGTGTTGAAAATTTCCACCAAGCGAGACTAATCTCCCTTGACCGCAATCAAATGTTGTAATGTGCTGAATAAAATATTAAAAGCAACTTGAATTAATAGAATTTATGTCCACAATCGTTCAGTTGTAAGTAAAATGTCCTGGAACTGTTGTGGGTCAACATGTGACTGATTCAACACAATCTACCTGAAGTCAACGTCACTGTTTGAACACACACATGTTCACCCAGCATCTGAAACACGATCCTGATCCGATTTCTCTCAGTGACTCCACCACTGGCAGCAGTTTGAACAGAGCGGGAACGTTTCCTTGTGTCTGCAGCACCAAACGCACACATTTCAAACTTTACACTCAGAAAATAACACAACAAATCAAGAAGTGTGAAACTAAAAAACGAGCCACCAGAAGCCGTGTGTGACACGACGGCGGCGGATTCAGGACCGGGTCACAGGAAACAATACGCAGCGCCTCTGGGACTGGGTCAGTGAGCAAAGGCTCCTAAAAACCGCTGACCTCCTCCTGCAGATTTATGACAGCCAGACACTGAGGTGTGTGACGAGTGTGTGAAGTGTGCACAAGGGTCAGTGGGTGGATCAGAGGGGACAGCAGAAAATGAATGCCTTTGGTGTACATACCTCGGTACAAAGAACAACCTCCTGTGTGAGTGCAGTCATTAGTGCTTTCTTCTCTGTGTGTGTCAAGGTCAGAACAGAGCCTGATTACAGGGCATTCTGCACAGCCATGGGGAGTGTGTGTGACTGTGTGTGCACACACAGGCTTCCCTTTTGAACACAGGCAGTGGTGGCATTCCTGGCCCTAGGCGCTGGCTCTTGAAGCCAGATCTCAAGGAATTTGGGAAATGTGCGAGGGGGCATATCTCTGGCTCTGAACAGGAGAACGAGAGATGGTAGAGTGATGAGGGCAGGGCAGGAGAGGAGGGGAAGGAAGGATCGATTTTGTTTGTCTTCCGCGGCTCCTGGAGGATCAAGTAAGGACGGCAAATGAAGAGCCAGGTTGTGGCGGCGTCAGGTGATGGCAGAGCAGAGGCTGGGAGTGAAGGAGTCACTGAGGGGTTCGTATGATTAATAAGAAGGAGTCATGTTGAGGTGATGTGGAGGTACGAGGCAAAAAGAGGGCAGAGGGGTGAGAAAGTTCATGTTGGGCAGCGAGAGCGACGGCGAGGAGCAAATGAGTTTGAGATGCCTGACTCTCCTGTCCAAGCATGAAGAAGACTAAGTGCATTACCTTCTCTTCAGTCTCCAGCTCTCTGCTGAGCAGCTTCTTCTCCGAGCAGTGCAGCTGCCTCTGTAGACTCTCCACCTTTTCCTGCAGAGCCTGGGGGAAGGGAGAGACAGTCAGTGGGCTGAGTGACGGAAAAAGAAAAACAACCCCAAATCCGTGTGGCGTCATGTGTAAGTGACGCAAATTGATAGGCGCTGATCTACGGTTACATCCGAGCTGCCAGGAGACACATCCTTCATCTGAACGAGAGGCTGGAGGAAACGAGTAGTCGAACGAAAACCAGTGAGACGCAGGAGAGTGGACAGAAGGGAGGACAGAAGGGAGGACAGAAGGGAGGACAGAAGGGAGGACAGAGGGAGGACAGAAGGGAGGACAGAAGGGAGGACAGAAGGGAGGACAGAGGGAGGACAGAAGGGAGGACAGAAGGGAGGACAGAAGGGAGGACAGAGGGACAGCGAGCCCAGATGCAGCCTGTGATTATTTGTTCAGTGTTAAAAGGCTAATAATAAAGCCATGACAGTAATTACCGACAAGCTGCCCTCATTAAGCCCAAACTTATTTTTAGACAAGGACAATCAGAAAAAGAGACTTTCTTACTCGGGGAATTAGCAAAACTTTCTAAGCTTTTGTAAAATTGCATTCCTCATTCCTTTCTTTGAAGGCAACAAGAAAGATCCAGGATCACAGGAGGACCAAGAAGCCTCTCTGTGTACTCCAGTACCTGCATTGATCAGATCCCCCCCAGGGTGCCAATAAAGAATCTAATCTGTTTTGCTTTCTAAGATTCAGGCAAGAAAGAAAAACAAGAAAACGCTCTGCATGTGTGTGTACGTGTGTGTGTGTGTGTTTATGTAGGTGTGTGTGTGTGTGTGTGTGTGTGTGTGTATGTGTGTGTTTATGTGTGTGTTTATGTAGGTGTGTGTGTGTGTGAGTGTGTGTACGTGTGTGTGTGTGTGTTTATGTAGGTGTGTGTGTGTGTGTGTGTGTGTGTATGTGTGTGTTTATGTGTGTGTTTATGTATGTGTGTGTGTGTGTGCATAGGGCAGATTTTTTTTATGTTCTGCCTGTAAGTTATAGCGAGGCCAGTTCCTGCACACGACGCAGAACCAGATGTTTAGAGTGCACATGTGGACACTTCATCTTTGATTAGTCTGAATGGAAAGCAGAGCAAGCGATATGCACACACACACACACACACACACACACACACACACACACACACACACACACACACACACCTTAACACGAAAACACAGACATGCATTTACACACACACACATATTTCCAACAAGTGTGTGGGGAAGCGGCTAGCATCAATATCCGCAGTGTCTCCCCCCGCTGGAGTTGAGTGAGTAGGCCAGGTGTTGGCTTGTTGGTTCTGTGAGCTGAGGGAAACACAGTCCAGGTGATAGGCATGACTGTCTGATCTACAACCCACTCCACTGACATAAATCACACACAGACTGTAAAGCTTCAGGGCCAGGATGAACTTCTGAGTAGCAACTCTCTGAGAACTCCCGACTAAAAAGCAAAGACGGGAGCAACACACACTCCCAAAAACAGCAGAAACTTTTGTTTTGTTGGCCGTCAGACTGCTACAGAAGATCTCACAGCAGCTGAAACTCGCCTGATATTTTCTGTTATTTGCGTCATGTGATCCCAGTCCTTCAGTAATTTGAAACACAACGTGAGCCCACCTGGACCTAATGCAGGTAATTCCACTTCACAGTGCAGCTAGAGGCACATTTAATCCTCCGCCAGATGGACTTTTGGATCAGCACACATTAATTGACTATCATGAGGTCAGTTTCAGCTCTTCGGCACGAAAGGCAGCTGCTTATCCTATTAATCGGGCTCTTTCTTAGCCAGTCACGGCCCGGTTGTAGCCCACGTCTCCATCCAGTGCAAGCCCTTGCTTTCCATTTCATCATTTCATTTTGTTTATTGGTGAATCAAAGCCTCAATGACACTGGAAAAGCATTTCCAGTGGAGCTGACACAGTTTGCTTTCAGATTGTAAGGAAGGCGTGAGAGTCTGAGGCATCTCCTCCTTTCCTTTGCATCTCCTTCCTTGTCACTGGTTGAAGAACACTGAATGTATTGCACAGGTGGGGAGTCTTCTGAGATGCATTTCAGACGTTGGGAAATACAGAAAAGACGCAGAGTTTGCATTAAGTGACGACAAGACAAAGTGACTTTCCTTCAAACACGTGTGATGATTTAGCCGGTATCTACAGAGCTGTAGCTAACATCGCCGAGGAGGACGAGAGCCCCGACATGGCAGCCCCCTCTCCAAACCCACCTCTGATTCCCTGCACTGTGACACAGCGCTGCTGGACCAGGTCTTCTGGGAAGTGAGGCTGACTACAGGACCACTGCTGACGTGTTCTCCTCTTTCTTGTGGCTTCTACATCTGATGCTCAAAACAAGTCTGAGGGCAGGAGTTCAACACTTGTCACTGTATTAATAGGGAAGATTCTGCTGATGAACAGAAGAGCTTAGTGAGTCAGAGACCTTTGGAAGTGTTTAGTCACTATCAGCATCAGAGGCCATGGTCGTATTACACTGAACCACCGTCACGTACTGCACAGACTCTGACAAAGACATGGCGTCAGTCGAAAAGGCTGCTGAAAATAATAAAACAGGCCACATGCTGCGGTCACCTGCACACTACGGAGGGAAACATGTCACCTGATCAGGAATTTTCAACCTGATCTAGGAACTTCTCTTGTCCAAACACATCTGGTCCGCTGGTGGTCCTCCATCGTTTGTCCTAAATCTGAACATACGCTCCAGACGCAGGTTGTTTCTATAGTACCGAGCGTGCGAAGGTGCGTTAATGACCATGTGTAGAAGATCCTGCTAAAGTGTCTCCAGATGCTCAGGGTGATATGGTCTTTATCAGCCATGCAGAATGGGATCATTGAAAACAGGCCGGGATAAGGGGAAATCTGATTTCCTTGGGGAGAGATGTAGGGAGGAGGAGGAGGAGGAGGAGGAGGAGGCATGGAAGACAAAGGTGTATGGAGAAATTGCAAAACAAAAAGGCCCGGGAGGATAAAGAGAGAAATGTGGCCGTGGTATCAGGAGGAGAGAAGGAAAAGAGAAAGTTCAGAAAGGTGAAAATGAGAAGCAGCAAGATAGCGAGGAGGCGGCGGCGGCGGAGGGGAGGACATGAAGGAGAATAACACGTGGCCGGAGTGGAGAGATATGGGCAGCGGTGCTCGTCTGCTGCACAGTCCCACAGTCGGAAGCTTCAAGGCCTCGCTCACCTCTCCATCAGCAATGTGCCTCTGCTTTCATTCCAAACTTCGGCTCAAAGGATTAGCGAGGCACACGCGCACACAAGCACCAACAAACACAGCGCTCAGAGCAATCCATGCAGGTATAGGCATGCATTAATATTAACAGCAAAAGTTCTAAAAATGTGAGTGCTACACTCAGTCAAATGATTGTGCAGCAACCGTGTTGTGAGCACGTAAACACATACGCACAGGCGCACACACACACCAGCGCCTGAGTCATCTTTCCTGGGTGGTCCTCCTGCGCAGATAAGGCAAGCATGTTTCCCTAGGGTGAAGTAAAAGCAACAGAGGGCAGGAAAAAAAGCAAAGAAGAAAGAAGGGAGAGAATAGTGGGAGGAGGAAAAAAGGCCAGGGGCCTCTTTAAACTTGGTGTTTTGTTAGGAGCTGAGCTGCTCTTCATGTGCGGCGGGGCCTTCTATTTGCAGCGTGCTGTCAGAAGTTTCTCCCAAAGTCTGGATTAAAGAGATCCTCTAATGACACTGAGGCTGGACGACTTCAGACAGCAGCAAAAACCTCACACTGCACCGCCTCCAGCCAAGGACACACACACACACACACACACACACACACACACACACACACACACCAGATGCATACACAAGGGGCACAAAACACACAGACATACATAAGCAAAGACGTACTATGTGGACTGCGCCCACACACACACAGGCTTTAGTAGAACAAGGCGGTGTGTGTGTGTACGGCTACTGATCTAATAGTAAATAATAAAGGAGGTGCTAACCTCAAGGAGAGATGGATGGCCAGAGAGATGAGCACAGACTCTCTTTTATCTGCACTTTTATCAAAGGATTGTGGGAAAGGTAAAGAAGTGAGTGTAAGAGAGAAGCAGTGGGAGGAGGAGGAGAGAGGTCTCCTTCCTGAGGTGTTAGAGAAGAGAAACTTTTGCTTTTGCTTTGCTGTCTGTCTGTCTGTCTGTGTGTAGGAATAAAAAGCTGCGGTTTAGCAAGTCGACCAGGACAGCCCCTCTGAAAGGTAACACTGATATTGGTGTGAATTGACTTGCTTTCAGCGCTTTGATGCTTTTCAGCACTTTTCCCAGAGTTGATTTAGAAGTGAAGTGGGAAGATGCTGTGATGGCAGCAGCGCTGGAACTCTCCCCAACACCAAATCGAACGGTTATCTCGTCTCCTGCACACATGCAGGCTCGGCTATGGAGGCGTCTTTCCCAGCACTGATGAAAATAGTAAGACAATTGCCGCGCTAATGAAGACGTGTTGCAACCGAGCTGTGCCCACAGGGGGAACACACTGTTCTCTGGCTTTCCGTCTCGGTCTCTTTCAGCTGCTGTGAGCTACAGTAGAAAGAGAATAGGAAACAACTCTGATATATGCACCATATGCCTGCTGTGTGTGTTTGTGTGTGGCCATTTATTCTGTTTATCAGATAGCACATCAGCTCATGGATGTTGAGTTTAGCAAAAACTACACATTCTAGTGCATCCGAGAAACTCTTGATGAAAACATAGAGAACGGTTTTAATTGAATGTTCAGGTTTTTACCAGAAAACACGCTGTGACAAACACCAGCAGGTTTTTCTAAAGTCATCCTGTTGAACACTGATGTTGTATTGTTATCTGCTGTGGTTATTGCTATTAAGGGCATTCCCTTAATGATTAATCACTGTGTGAATGAATCCGTTTTAATCTTAGCGGTTGATGCTCATTCCTCGATGTGCTCCACTCTCACTGCTCCTATTGAGTCCCACTATAGAAACATGACAAGCCGGAACAACACAACAGCATTCCAGGGCTGTGATTTCAGTATTTCTG